AACTTCCTAGGATGGTCTGCAGACAGTAGATGTTCAGTCTATTACAGGATACTCAAAGCCTTTTTCAGCTTCGTAGGGCCCTCTAGAATTTCTATTTCATAGGCAGGATCTTTAAGAATACAAGGTCACCTCCAAGTCACAAAGAAGTATTAGAATATCACAGTGGAAGTTTTAATATCATTCAATCAATAAGTATTTGGTAAGTACCTACTCTGTGCCAGGCATTGTGCCAGACATTTAAAAAAAATCACTGTTCTTAAGGAACTTATATTCAATGGGAATCATTGATCCATTCAAATCTCATTTATTTTCATCCAAAAAGGAAAATGATCATAATTATTTATGTTATTAGCTGTTAGGGTGAACTAAAGGACTTCCTTTTCTCCTTTTACAAAATAGATAATCTCTGAGGTATTTTCCACTTATAGCATCCTCATTAAAAAAATTATTCTAGCCACAGATAAAGCAACTCAGTAATGTGCTACCCAAAAATCATTCTGGAACTGAAGGACAAGGATAGCAAGAAGACTTTCGATGGTGGTGAAGTATATGTCATGAAACAGACAAGCACCGATTGTTCTAATGTATTTGATGAAATTAGGAAAGGAAAGAATGCTTTGTTGAAGGTCTGCAGTTGACCTTCAGATGGGGAAAATGGACATGCAGAAAAGCTTAACTTTCCAGATTATGAGTGATCTCACTGATTTTGGTTGGAAACCAATGCTAATGTATTTTCCAGTGAGAAAACTGGGCTGGAAAATAGTAGTGATGGTTCTCATCAGACTTCTAGGCATGGCAAGTATTGACTTTGCCGATAAGTGCTGATTGAAGTGACATATGCCCCTGAAACAGTCTAAAGAAAATGAAAACAATGTATGAATGTTGGCAATTAAAGGCAGATGTTAGAGAAAAATGTAAATGTTGACATGGTTCCATATCCTAAGCCTTGATAAAACAAAAATTGATTAGAGAGTCCTTTGAAGGGAAGATTAGTTGTAGATGTGATGGTATAAAATTGAATGCGGCGAATAATGAAAATTCAGAACTCAGAACCAAGTAGATGTCCAAGGAATGTGTGCAGACTCCCCTTCTGTGTGAGTGTGTGCTCTGTGTGAAAGAGTCCTTAACATTCAGGTGGGGAGAAGAGGGAGGGAACTGAATGTAGTTTCTAGTTCCGGTTCTGGGACTAGGAAAAGCAGCTGTGATTAAAATACAGAGTGCTCCGGCTTAAGAGTCCAGACTAGGCTAATAGCTGGTTCCGTGATCTTGGACAAAGGTGAATCATGTAACTTCTCTGAATCTCGGTTTCTTCATCTGCAAAATGAGGGGATTTAAGCAGATGACCTCAAAGGAGGCAACGAGAGGATCAGAGTTCAAATCCTGCCTCAGACATTAACTAGTCATTTAGCCACTGTCTGCCTCAGTTTCCTCAATGGTAAAATGGAGGTAATAATAGCACCTACTTCCCATGATTATTTTAAGGATCAAATGAGATAATATTTATAAAGCACTTTCCAAACCTTAAAGCATTATATAAATGCTACAATTATTATTATCCAATATAAAGGTACCAATTAGATTCCTCTGGGAATAGTAGATGCTTTATCATCATCGTCATCATTGCTGTTATTGTTATTAATGGTGGTATTATTTGTTATTTATTATCAAAGGTATTTCCCAGCTTTTCTATTTTGGGGGGGGGGGCAATGGGTTTAAGTGACTTGCCCAGGGTCACACAGCTAGTAAGTGTTATGTGTCTGAGGTCAGATTTGAACTCAGGTCCTCTTGAATCCAGGGCCAGTGCTCTATCCACTGCGCCACCTAGCTGCCCCCCAGCTTTTCTATTTTTTAGAAGAAGAATCATGCCGGCTCAAAGACTATATGATCTCTGCATTGCATCTAGATTAGGAAAGGGTTTAACATTAATGACATGGAAGCAATGCAAAAGAACAAGAAACTCTGGTCCTATGATGATGCTTTGCTAGAAAAAATGGAAAATGTTGCTAGGAACTAACTATCCAAAATCCGTAATATGGCCAAGCTAATTTGTGTGAGCACGAAACAGGAATTATAAATGGGCCTAAAACATGCTGTTGACAGGGGAATCACATAAATCATTGACATAGTTATGCTGATTTTACTGTTGATAGATATGTGAATAGAAAGTTGAATTATCACTTAAAAACAAGTCAGACCTATGTTTATGTTATAGTGTATGTATGATCAGAAGGAAAAAAAAATAAAAGGAACTTAACTGCCACACCCATGCTTTTCCAAAAGAGAAAAAATATAAGATTAGGCATAATTATACATTAGTAACCCCTGAGTTATATGTTACCTTCATGATATTAGAGTGAACTGCCAATTTTCTAAAATTGAAGGGTAAAATAATACTGTGTCAGTTACACTTCAGCAAGTTGTTACTATGAGATTTTCCTGCATTGGATGCAGAGCCAAATGAAGAAACTTCAGCCAATGTTGTCCAACCTCATCATTTTACAGATAAGGAACCTGAGGCTCAGAGAGGTTAAGTGATTTGCCCGGGGCCACACAGTTTATCAGTATCAGAAGTAAGACTTGAATCTAGGTCATCCTGGCTGGCAGTCTAGCCTTCTACTGGAGACTCCACACAACCTCCCATTACTGGGATAGGGTGGAGGGTGGGGGCTAAGCAGCCACTCCATTACCACAGTAACAAGAACACAATTGGCTCTAGTCAAGTTTTTTATGAAGTGCCTACTTTGTGCTAACAGCTGCAGATGCAAATGAAACAGTGCCCTCAAAGAGCTAATATATAGTTATTCCAATCCCATAGTAAGATACTGATTAGATGCCTCTGTGAGTAGTGGGTTTCATAGCTGTGCATTTGTTTTTCTTGCCATCTTGATACTACAGAGCAGTGAACCATGCTAATAATTATGGTTTCAAAACACTGTAGTTGGGTTCTCTGCTGCTCATGTGATTTAGTCTCTAGAACAATCAATTGGAAATTGGAAATAGGATGACTACTTTTCTCCCCCCTCTCCCATTTAAGGAACCTTAATAATCCCCATAAAGAAACTTTAGTCCTTTGGAAATCGTCTGTGCCTCTATTCCAGTCAGCCTGAGAATTTTTCAAGTGAAATTATTCCCTAAGACTCTGTCTCTTCAAATTCCCTAGAAATTGTTGATGCTCCAGTTGGCTATCAAGGTACAATGATAATCCATGAAAAATATGAGTTGAGTAGATATGATTAAGCAATCATCACATTCATAAGGCTGGCATCCAGGTACTTTGTGCTGATTCTGAAGATGGAGGAAACCAAAGCCTAGCAAATGTTAAGTCAAGAAAGCTTGACAGAATGCACCATCGCTGAAATAACTTCCTATTTAGGTGGGTTTGAAGAAAATCAGATGATTCTGTTTACTGTCATCTAAATTATTTTTCTTTTCCCTTTCTTTAACCTGAATGGAACAACTAATCCATGTATTCCATTAGAACTATATTATGCTGTGAAATTACAGGGTTTCAGCTCCCCTTCGCTCTCTCACTACCCCAGCAGGATTTAGTTAAAGCTTATGTAAGCAAGAAGCTGTATGAAATTTTAGAAGTCCAATGACTTCTCCGTAATGCTAATGTGTTTATTTTGAAAGAACTTCAATTTATTCTGTCAACTTTTGAGGAATCCAGACACTTTCCTTAAACATCTAAAGAGTAGTTCTGAATTTGGAGGACCTAGGGTCAAATGGGACTTTGCCACTTTCTTTCTGCATGAATGTGGGCCAGTCACTTAACCTCACCTGGCCTCAGTTTCCTCATCTGCTAAAATGAGTGGATTGACCTAGATGCATTCTGAGATCCTACTTAGCTTCTTGACTGTTCAGGAGAGCAAGCAAATATCAAAGAAACAGAGACTCTTTGCCAACTTCTTATTCTTTCTAGTTGCAAAATAGAATTCATGAGGATTTTTTAGAGAAAGCTAGAAATCTTGTTCTGGAGCTAACAAAGTCTTTAGTTTTAGCACTAAAACTTGGTTCAGTCAATAACGTTCCTTACTGCTTCTGGTCTCCTGAGCAAAGGAAAAAAAAGAAAAAGAAAGAGCAAAGATGGTGAGCTTTGAGGTCTCAGCTAGCTGGGCTTGGTTTTTGTTGAGTTTGTTGTTAGATCACTTCAATCATTTGAGGGGGCATGGTAGGGGAACTAATATTATTAGTAGCCCCAAAAGAGTCTATCTTTGAGACCCTCCTGCTCAGGCTTCATTAACAAAATTTATCAATGAGTGGTGGAGATCCCCTGGGGACCATTTCCCAAAGTAACAGTTTGTTGTTCAGTCATGTCTACCCCACTTGGAAGTTTTCTTGGCAAAGATACTGGAGTGGTTTGCCATTTCCTTCTTCAGTTCATTTTATAGATGAAGAAAGTGAGGCAAACAGTGTTAAGTGACTTATCCAGGGTTACATACCTAGTAAGTATCCGAGGCTGAATTTGAACTCGGGTCTACCCAACTCCAGGCCAGGAACTCTATTCACTGGGCCACGCAGCTATCCTTGCACCATACCCATTAATAACTATGACAATACCCATTAATAAATTCTCCCCATGGGCTATCCGATTCACTTCTATGGAAGTCAATAGTCACAAAAGTCATTATTTCCAAAGGCTCATAAAAGTTTAGGTAACTATTCCCTACCTCACAGATTCTCAACTCAATATGTTCCAATAGACACATCTTCTGACTACTCTTTTATAATTCCCAGAGGAAATACTATAGTGCCTAGGACAGAGCTCTGCACACAGAAGGGCGTTGAAAGTTTATTGAATTGAATGAAAACATTCTGAAATTATATGTTCGATAAAAGTAACAGCCGGTTTTTGTGTCATTACCCATAAAGCACAGGTCCGAACTAGGCATTGACTCATCATTGGTTTGTGATTTGGCTGCCACAGATAGCAAGTGATGAATTTCTTGAGTCAGCCCAATATCACCCAAGTGACTCTCATCCTGCATGATCACGCTTACCCAAAATCAGAAGATGGCAGTGAAGGATCTGCTTTGGGGTCCAACAGGAAACGACTCTGTAACACTTGCCGATTATTTTCTACAGTCAAAACAGGGTAACCCATCTGCCTAGTCCATGTGTCCATCACTTCTTTCACTGGTTTATTACTTGCCTAAAGATGAAAAGTAGAGATTAACCTAAAAAAGTTGGATTCTTTTTTTTACCAATATTTAGAGCCAAAGAAATGCTAAACAAAAGTAATTAACAATTGGATAGGCTGCTCTCTTTCATACCTTTTCCAGCGCGTCCCAAAAATCATCTGTTCTCGCATTTCTGAACTCATATGTCTTCAAGTATTGCTGTGTATAAAAGAGAAGAATTATTAAACAAAACATTCATCTTTGCTCTTCTCTAGGTGGTCCTATGTAGAAGCAACGATTTAGAGCAGAGGACTTTAAAGGTTTTAGGATCATAGTTCTAGAGTGGCCATTATTACCTTTTTCTGTCATGGACCTCTCTTTAGCAAAACCAACAGACCCCTTCTCAGAAGCATGTTTTTAAATAATTGAAGGAAAGGATAAATTTCAATTTTTTTTCATTCATTGTTGTTATTGAGTCATTTCAGTCATGTTTGACCCTTTGCAACCCCATTTGGGGTTTTCTTGGCAAAGGTACTAGAGTGGTTTGCCATTTCCTTCTCCAGATCATTTTACATGTGAGGAAACTGGGGCAAGCAGGGTTAAGCGACCTGCCCAGGGTCACACAGTTAGTAATTGTCTAAGGCCAAATTTAAACTCAGGAAGAGAAGTCTTCCTGACTTCAGGCCCGGCACTCCATCCACTGTATCACCAACCTAGTCTTACCCTCTGGACCCTCTGAAGTCTATCCAGAGATTACTCCTGTTCCCCTGAACCTCTTCTCAGCTTTCATTCTAAAGGGATACTGAAGTAGGTCAACATATATTCTACCTAAAATAGATAGTTCTAAACCACAAGAAATAGTTACCGGTTAAAAAACCCCATTTGTTCTTTATCTGGTGATTATTTGAGCCTTGCGGAACTGTGACTAAAAGAGAGAAATATCTGAAGATTTTCTAAGGATTGGTTTCTTTGAAAACCAGAATGTGCATTCTTCACAGCCAGCAGAGGCTCAGAATATAGTGAGCAGCCACTGAAGGATTATTAACTGAAAAGCTCTGAATGGGGTGCTGCCATTCTCTGAGTCTCCAATTTTTACAGATTGGCGGTCATCTATACCCCATGACTTCCTCTCTTTTCCTTTATTAACCCGTGGGCTTTTCAGTTTGAGACACCAGGCCACGCATCAGCGGGGCAGGTTAAACAGGGTTGTGATTTGCACAGATCAAACAGGAGTAATGGACTTTAACCAAAACGAATGTTTAAAAATCTGCATTTAGAAAAATGATAACACTGGGGGGGATGATAATTATAAAAAGATTTTTCCCTGTACAAAAGGATTTGTCTTGTAATTCTTTTAAATAGCAGGTCCTCACAGTATGTTTAAAATATAATCCTATTTACAAACTTCTGTTTGTGTACATCTTTTTCTGTAACATGTCAATTACAGAAAGTGAAAATCATCTCTACAGAAAATTACAGGCATTTTTCTAACTCTAAAACCAGTCCTTTATCATCAAGATCCTAGCAGTTTCCATGGAGACCATCCATAGCACTAATTGCATTTCCTTTGCTATCCACAGTAGCCCAGGACCTAATGTGATCGTCTTCTTAGGTACAGGTAAGGGTTCTTACACTTTCTGTGTGTCATAGACCCCTTTGGCAGGCTGGTAAAACCTACAGACCCCTTCCTAGAATAATGTTATCAAATGCACAAAATGAAAAATGTAGGAAATATACATGAAGGAAATGAATTCTATTGAAATAAAAATGCAATTTTTTTTTCCATCCAAGTTCATAAATAATCTATCCCTTAGGGGTCCAAGGACCTCAGGTTAAGAATCCCTGAATTAAGCCAGACCAAATCAGGTATACTCAAAGAAAGTGACCAATGCGTCTAACTTCAGATAGACTCTTTCCCCAACCTGCTATAGTTTCAAGTGTCCCTTCCCAGGTCACAAAACAGTCTTTCTCCCTGTTCTTTTCAGGGACTGAGAAATGAAAAAGTAAAAGCGACTTAATACAGACCCGAGGGAACATCTGGGGCTGTCAGATCTCCTGTGACCTTTCCTCCTGAATTCTTTGGGTCAGTTTACTTCCCAGCACTACCACCAGAGGGCAGGCAAAGGAAGGGAGAAGAGAGAATTTTAAAAAATAGAAGTTTTAATTACTGCTTACGGAGTTTTGTCTTGGTCACAAGCCCTTAAAATTAGTAAGAAATGTCCTGTTTGCACCCATATGTATAAAAATATTTATAGGGGGTCTTTTTATTGGGGCAAAGAATTAGAAACTAAGGGGCACCCACCCATCAATTGGAAAACGACTGAACAAATTATGGTAGATGAATGTGATGGAATACTATTTTGCTTAAAGAAATGATGAAAGGGATGGGTTCAGGGAAACCAGGGAAGACTTGTATTGAACTGAGGTTAGAGTGAAGTGAGCAGAACCAGGAGAACACTTTCTATCTGCATGCCCTTTAGCAAGTAGCCTAATCTTTATGAGACTATTTTGCTCATCTCTAAAATAGGAAGAATAATACTTTTACTATCTAACTCAGGGGGCTATTTTGAGGAAATCATTTTGTAAACCCTAAGACACTGTACAAATATGATTTATTCTATCATTATTAGTATTATATGGAAACCTCTGTCTAACAAACATACACATACAACCCAAGAGGGGAAAAAAGTAACGTATTTTACCTTCTAATAGTCACATATAGCCCTATGTAAGTGAATATAACAATGCTAACCCACAGACGCTTTAAGATACTTTCTCAGGAGCGGTCATGGTTCATCCGAACACTCTTACCCTGTCCCTTTTGGGACAAATGGAATGCATCTCTTGGTGTGCTGAGTGGGACTAGGGTCGTTAGTAGAACAGTATGGAAGGAAGAAACAGAGCCAAACCAACTACTCCATTTGGCAACGAAATTCATATTTCCACAGAGTGTCTGTAGAATCCACAGAGGATTCTAATGTTAGAGGCCCTGAACTATAACTAAGAGATGTGAGGGAAGTTTTGGCAGCAATAGTGAGCAGCTAATTACAAGCTCATGCAAGTGATAGATAGATTCCTCCTTCATGAATCTAAATGTAAGAGAGAGTTACAAAATATGCATTTGCTTTAAGCAAATTTGCTTTGAGCAAACTTACTAGCTGTGTGACCCTGGGAAAGTCACTTAGCCCTGTGTGCTTCAGTTTCCTCATCTGTATAATGAGCTGGAGAAGAAAATGGCAAACCACTCCAGTGTCTTTGCCAAGAAAACCCCAAATGGGGTCACACAACTGAAAACAACTGAACAATATCACACAGCAACATTCAAACTAAACTGTGCAGGTTATCCTCTGTAACACTACCAAATACCCTGTGTCTTCCTGGCTTATACACCTCAACTGATATTGCTAATCAACAGAATGTGGAACAAACTTGTTGTCGAGATATTAAATTGTCATGGAAGAAGAAACAGGAGCAATGACTAGAAGTTGAGGAGAGGAAGATTTGGGCTTAATATGAGACATTTCTTACCAAGTAGACCTGCCTAAGAATGGAATAAGTTACTGCACAAGATAGGAGATCTCCCCTCATTTGTGGCCTTTCCAGGAAGGCTGGATGATTGCTTGTTGGAAAAGTCATGGAGAGGGGCAGCTAGGTGGCACAGTGGATAGAGCTCTGGCCTTGGAGTTGGGAGGACCTGAGTTCAAATCCAGCCTCAGACACTTGATGCTTACTAACTGTATGACCCTGGGTGAGTCACTTAACCCCTACTGCTTCACCAAAAAGCAAAAAATAATTTTTGAAAAACAACTGAAAAGTCATACCTCGTCAGGTATGGATGGTATTAGCTTCTGAGGTCCCAACCAACATTAAATCTTTTTGCTAATCCTAACAATCTATGATATAGACAAAGGTACGTTTGACTAACTACAGGTAAGATTCATTTTTACCTCGATAGTGGATATGAGAAAGCATAGGGAAGTTTTTTTTTAAAAAAAAAAACCTCATACATTACCTAAAATCTATGTTTTCACATATCATACACAGATCCACAGACCTTCTTCCTGTGACACTGATGTAGCCATCCTCACATAAAGTAGAAAGATTGACAGTGAGCCTCATTTGCCATCCCCTACCATCCAGTAACCTTCCTTGCCAGCCACCTAGAGAGCCTAGCATAGAGTAGAAGGAGATGAGGCATTGCCGAAAGCATTAGAAATGTCACCAGTGCTAAGTGCAGTTCGGAGGATAGAGAAAAGGACAGTGAGATAGGGATCAAAATGTTGGCGGCAGCAGCTAGTACATTCCAGTGCTTAAAAAAAAAAAATGCTGCATTACTGGGTGGGAAAGTGGGAGAATGCTGGGACACGTTTCATACCCTCTGGGCTGAAATGCCATCAGAAGAGTTCTTAGATACTTAGGGTATCACCATTGGGAAGTCGAGGGTAGAAGGGAAAGAAGAGGAATATTCCATTTGTAGTTGGAATGGGGCCAGCCTGCAGGTTGGGGAGCTGTACAGACATTTTGTAGGATACGCCAAAGATGGAAGGCCCTGAGAGACTTGGCCTGGGGCCAGCAAAAGAAACTGAGACACCCATTAGGCAGAATCTATGTGTGTGCAATTTCTTTTCAAAGTTTCCAGTCGTATCTGCTTTAGAAAGAAAGTAGGCCCTATTTATTCTCTGCTCCCCCTGTGCTAAGTAAGTATCCTAATAACTTCACAAATAGCTTAAGTCTATAATGATAGAAAGGATTCTTGGATTCAGCATTAGGAAAGACCCTCAGCCATGTTTAAAATTCCACCTGGGCCATCATCTTGTCATCTGCCCCTTCTCTGCCGGAAGCTTACTCTCCACCCTTTCTACATCTTGCTCAAAAACTTGTAATAAAATCAATGCTGCAATTTTAACCAGAATGGAAACTTATCAATCAACTCCCCTATGATTTCACTCACAACATTTTTTTAAAATATATCTGAGACCAAAACTTGTAATTACTCTTTCCTGGTCACTACTCCCTTATAGATGTTGTTTCCAGGGATTCTTACCCTTCTTTGAGGATCCCCTCATGGACCCCTTTGGCAGTCTGGTAAAACCCACTTTCAAAATATTATTTGCTGCTTAAATCCATAATTGAAGGAAATGCAAATTGCAGCTAGTGGTCAATGAAATATGTTTGTTTTTTTTTTCCATTTGTATTCACGAACCACCTGAAACTATCCATGGACTCAGAGCAGGAATTCCTGCTTTATTAGAATGTAAGATCCTTGAGGGCAGAAACTGCCTTCTTTTATATTTATACCCCAGATTTGGCACAGTGTTTGGCATAACATAACCGCTTTAATAATTTTTGCATTCATCAATCAATTGATAGATAGGAAATGTTTTTAAGTTATAAATGTCATCAGTAATAATAAAGGAGTAATGCCTACAGACTATATCATACTTTTGCAAGGTAGGCTTTATGGTACAATAGAAAGATAGATGAATGAATTTAGTCAGAAGGCCTGGGTTTGAATCTTGACCCAACCACTGTGTATTCACTCTGAGTCACAGTTTCCTCAATGGTAAAATGAGATGACCTCTGAGGTTCTCTAGCACTTAGCATTGTAATAAATTGATTACTACGCATGTTGATTGATTGATTTTAGCTCAAAATCTATGATCCTAGGGTTTTGTATAACAAGACACTGTAATCTTAGTGGAGAAACATAATGAATGCTGATGCTAATTAGGAAAAGATCCTTCCTCCGGGTTTTCTTGATTATCTATCCCAAAATAAGAAAGAAAAAAGAGGTCATCCTTTTATAAATAGGACTCTGAAGAGATATCACCTAATGTCTTAAAATATTCAAAGAGCTGGCATGTAGAATTCAATCTAATACACAAATATATATTTTGTACTATGTTCAAAGCGTTGAAGACAAAACTGAAAAATGACAAGTCCTTCCATGAAGCACATTACCATTTATCACAAAGTTGGGGGGAGGGAGGAGGAGGAGTATGGTATATCCAGTCATATAGTTTCCCAACCCCAGATTCATCCTTTCCTCTTTCCCATATCTCGCTTCCCTTCTCCCATATAACCAATACATTTCCAGATCCCTTCAATTCTACCTTGACACCACCTCTCACATACATCTCATCCTCTCCTCTCACACAGCCTCTACACTAGTTTAGGTCCTTAGCATTGTCTCTTGCCTTGATTACCAAAATAGCCTTCTAATGGGCTATACTGGGTGTGTGATCTCAAGCAAGTCATTTAATGTTTCCAGGCTCTCAAGCAATTGTATATGACTACAAAGTATCAGTTGAGACACAGGAAACTACCTATATCAATTAAATCACAGAACCTGATCATTCAGGACCCCTGCACACACACACCATGTATCACAAACAGTTGGACAGGACCAAAAATGACAGAAACAACAAATACATGTTTGTTGAGTTGTATTGAATTGGTGCATACACAAATAAGAACCAACAAAAAAAAAAACAGAGTATTATGGGGCAAAGGAAAAGAGACACAAAATGCTTTAGGGAAACTCAAAGAAAGAGACCATTTTCAGTTTGGGGGAAATCTGAGAAGACTTCATGAGGTAACACCTCAAGAAGAAAAGGATTTTGACATACTGAGATGAAGATGGGGTACATTCAGAGTTTGGGGGGATAGCCTTTGGGAATGAATGCAGGAAGGAAACAGAGTATGAAGTTCAGCAGAATAGTCTAAGTAATACAGTCTGTCTAGAACATGGAATTTGTGAAAGGGAATAATGTGAAATGAAGGCTGAACCCAACTGTGAAAGATTTTAAATGTCACATTGCAGAGTCCACATTTTATCTTAGGCAGAAGTTCTTAACCTTTTTTCTATCATGGATTCTTTTGGCATTCTGGTGAAGGTTATGGACCCTTTCTCAAAATAACATTTTTAAATACATAATAAATATATAGGATCGCAAAGGAAACCAATTATGCTGATACACAATTAACAAAACTTTTTTTTTTAAAGAAGTTCATATACGCCAGGTTAAGAAACCCTATCTCAAAGTAATAGGAAGTTATAGAAAGTTTGTGAATAAGGCAGAAATTGGTCAGATCTTCAAAATTACTTGGGGAACTGTTCAATTTATTATGTTTGATTACAGAGAAGAAAGCTACCGCTAGTTGGTGCTAGTAATAGGGAGACTGATTTTTGCTCAATATAGGAATGAGTGTGCCTAACAACAAGACATGTTTGAAAATGAAATGTGTGACTTCCTGGGAGTACTAAGCTACTCTCCACTAGATGTTCAGGCAGACTGAGGCTCAATGACCTCATCATGTCAGAAATGCAGGAGAAAAGTTTCATGCATTATTAGGCAGAGCTCCAATCTCATTACTTATGATGTCTCTTTCTACTGCATTTCATTTTCCCCCATTTGTGATCAGTCTCACATCAGTGCTTACACTATTAGAAATAACAAGACATACTTGACATCCAAGTTGAAATTTCTCTGGGGTTAGCCAGTCTGCAAGCATTCTAAGAATGGAGGCTCCCTAAAGAAAAAAAAAAGAGAGAAAGAGATAAAAGTCACTATGTGAAGGAAAAACTACAGTTTATTAGTATGCATTGTAAGAGCAAAGAATAAAAGACAATTTGTTGTGATCAAAACTTAGAGCTTTTGTTTCTTCTAAGGGACATTTGTTGGTTCCAAGATGTTAGGAAATAAAGTTTGCCATGTAACAGCTTCCAAAATACTCTTATTCATGTATTAATTATTGAAGACAATTGTGGATTAATTACTTAACACAATTTATATACAAATTTCTAGAACAAACAAGAGTTATTTGACCAATGCTGTAAAGAAATTGTTGAAACTCTTGCCTTTAGACTTTTGGGTACTTTATACAGAAAGTTATTGCATTTCTTCCAATGAACCAGAAGATGGAGCCCTCCTAATGGAAAAGAAATGTATTGGCTTGTGTGTGTGTGTGTGTGTGTGTGTGTGTGTGTGTGTGTGTGTGTGT